CAGGTCTCTGCTGCTCAGCACAAGTGACCTGTGGCTTGTGACCTTGGCACTTGGGAAGGTATCACCAATATTAACATCTGAGAAGTCTCATGATGAAAATGTAGCTTTCTTGCTTGCATTTGAAAGCCATGATTTTTTTGATGACCTCTTGTTCTGTTTGCAAATGTAGGCAGTAGCTATTATGCAAAATTGATCAAATCTAGCATGCCACATACCTAGGAGAGCTTAGTTCAGATGGTTACCATAATCTCTGTTTGCTAGACTAAAATCTGGTTCTCAGCTGTAAACACAGACAGTTATGGTGTACTCTTGAAGGAGTCTTCTCTCACTATAACTCATTTTACTGAATTTGTGCTGATCCTGTTTGCATAAGCATAATTTTTTTAAAGTGTTTAATCCCTTCTCAACTATTTTCTTAATTTTTAGTTTTGAATCTAGATGAACACTTTCATGCTTTCTTGGCAACATGTCATTTGACAGTATCCCAGATGAGATCTTGTTGAGGATATTTGAACATTTCAGCATTTATGAGCTCATTCAAAATGTTTGTTGTGTGTGCCAAAGGTGGAATCAAGTGGCTTCCACTACCTCTCTCTACAAACATATTGTGCTTAACAACAAAATATGTCAAGAATGCAGTATAGACAAAATTTTTCAACATTGTTCCCAAGTGATGACATCCCTCATGATCATAGGTACTAATCCTGGATTAGTTGCACAAGTGATGTCTCATTATGATTTCCCCAAGCTCCAGACAGTTGAAATACATTATGTATGGCCTTGGACTGAGCCATTTCTGGAAGTGGTATATAGATGTGCTCCCAACATTCAAAGTTTGACTCTTCATCAATGCCAGATAGGCTTCCATAGTGAATTCAAAGTGGTGCCATTATTCACACATTTAAAGCAGCTGGAACTTTATAATTGTGACCTACTTGATGATGATTTGCTTTCCATTTGTAGTCACTGTGAGGTCCTGCAGAGTATAAAGTTGTTTCATACAGGCATCAGTGTAACAGCCCTTGATGCAGTTTGTAGAAGAATGAAAGATTCTCTGGAAAGGTTGTATGTGACCTGCTATGGATGGGAAGATGCTAGTTTTCAGGCCATTGGCACAATACAGTCACTAAAAGTCTTGTTGTTTGTTGGCTGCCATAATCTGACTGATAGAGGCTTGTTGTCCCTTTCCAGACTCCACAATCTGGAAGGCCTGTCAATACGCACCCCAGCTGTACATGCCTCTTCTGTGTCTACCCTGATTGCTTGTAAAAACTTCCCACACTTGAAAGCTCTCATACTTGATAGCTTTCACGTGAAGCTGGGTGATGAGCATGCTGTCTGTATTAGCCACAATACCCCCACTCTGCAGCTATTGGTTCTGGAAAGAGCAGCCAATGTGACTGACATTGGCTTTGAGTATTTCTTAAAGAACTGCCAAAACCTGCAGGAAATCAGGCTAAGAAAAATCCCTTACTTGAAAGGGACATTTCTGGTTGCCATTATGGAAAAGCTTCCAAGCCTGAAGTACTTCTCTGTCAAAGAAATTCCAGCAATGATAAAATCCCTGGCTGACTTCTCCAAGAAACATCCTTCTGTACTGACAAACTGGCTATGTTATGGCCCTGTTTACAAGCATTTCTTTCGATGGTGGTCAAGTGCAGACTTTTCTTGACAAGTCACAAGTTTTCATGGATTTTTGCATTTTGAAAGCCTGTAGAAAGTTTAGTAATAAAATTTAGAATGGAATTAAACATCTGTGTATGTTTTGATATATATCTATAATATATTTATCACTATCTGTTAAATGTGGTCCTCTTGAACCTTCAAAGTTGTTCAACTTCAGCTTAGAGATAAACCCTGGGCTCCCAAAAGCTGAATCCTATTGAGTTCTTCATTTTGGTGGAAAGCATAGGAAAAACGCTTCATGTGGATTTGGTATTGATTGCTAATTTTTGGAATCTCCCTTTAATAAATTCAGTTGCTTGGGGAAGTTTCTTGGTGACACTGTCCAATATCAGAAGACCAGTTCCAGTGTAACACATCATTCTTTGCAACAACTGTTAGAATTCAATGACACCTGCATGGTATCTGTATCCTTGAGCATTGAGGATTACATTTCCAATAAGCCAGAGGACTGGGAACAGCTTAGGAGGGAAATTCTGTTAGAGTCTCTGGCTAATGCCATGCTAGAACCCTTTCTTCCCTCATGAGCACACTGTACCAATTGATGGAAATTTTCTGAGAAGTTGAAGATATCAAGCATATTTAGGATATTTTCCATTGATTTGGATTTTTTTTTTGCTTACTCTTTGATAATGGTTTTTAAAAACTCAGTATGATTTTGGAGTGTTTTGTATAGACATTAAATGTTAACATCTTTGTCTAAGAGGCACAGTTTCTGCCTTCAGGGTTAGGCACATGTCCCATACTTCTGAAATCCCTCTAACACAGCTTACTAAATGCTTTTGAGTGTTGGAATACTATCAATTTTGGGAGTAATTGAGTTCTAGGAAGAGGATGTTCACATATTTCAGCACCACTCAATGAAGCAGCAGTGAGAGACAATTTCATTGTCTCCAAGCTGCATGAACTCATTTCACAGTGTGAATCTTGTTTCCAGTGTCTCATTCCATAGAACACATTCTGGTTAGTACTTAGATGCATGAGTGATCATGAATTTGATGGGTCAGCCCTAAGTAACTTCATAACTTTTTAAAATCCTCTTCAGATGAAAACTTTTATGAGAGCAAAATAATCATTCTGGAGGGTACATGAATGGTGAAAGTTTGTTTGCATCATTTTCAAAAGTCAACAGAACTTGGTGCTTCTACATGGGTGCAATTAATTTGAATGCACTTATCCTGTCTCTACACTGCAGCCTTAACATCTCTGCAATATTTCACACGAAATAACACAAACTGCAACTTTGATTTTGCATTTTAACTGGGCCAGATAATGATTGCAAGTGCTGTAGGTCTCTGTTTTGACATGAATCTCAAAAAAATCAATTCAAGTCAATATCCAGTGAGCAAGCTGCCCATTCCATTTGAGAACCTTCCCTTCCAATCTATCAGCAGTACTTAGAGTTAAAGGAAAACCAGGTTTTGATTAGAACACTTCCAATTTCCACAAATTTGTTGTGAGTGCTATAAATTGTGCAACAAGTAGGCAGCAAGTAGAACAGTATTCTGTTGAGGCTGTAGTGCAGAGATAGGATAAATGCATTCAAATTGGTGACACCAATGTGGAGGCACCTTAAGTTCTGGTGACTATGGAAAGTGAATGAAACAAACTTTTATCGTTCACATACACTCCAGCATAAGTATTTTGTTTCTATAAAAGTTTTTTTTTTTTTCAAAAGAATATTATAAGAAAGATTGTACTTGCTTATGGCTCATCCAATACAATATGACTTTCAAGAGAGATAGATTTTGGTGTATATTGCCACTGAAGGTCTCTTTAGAGCTTAGCTCTGACAATGTTACAAAAGATGTCCCATAGGACATGTTAAAGAATCATTGTGTGCAGCAAAAATGATAGCATGCTCACTGACCCACTGGACACCTTAATCATAAGAGGTAACAAGATCATGTGGTGGTTATTTTTTAAATTGTCTTTTTGAGTAATTTTGAATTTAGTAATTGCTAAGTTTCCTATATTCATCCAACCCTATTGAGCTATATCTTTTGAAGCAGTTAAAATGACTGACCACATAATCTGCAATATCGGTATGATATCCTTTATAGTTAGGAAAATATATATATTGTATTGATATAGGGTGGATTATTGTCCTGGAATACTAGGGTGCTTTTGCATCATGTAGGCCTATTGTGCAAGATTCATTGACATCATGAAACTAGTATAAGTAATATTTGACAATAAGTCAAATGTAGAATTCCACCAATCAAGCATAGTTCTGTACTTGCATAATTGTTGCTTTACTTCAGGGTCTTGCACAAACCTTTTGCAGATGCCAAATAATCAACTCCACAAAGATTTACATCAGTAACATTGCTGTAATTTTCTGCTGTATTCATTTTAGATCTAGTGGTACTAGTTTCTAAACTTTCCCTTCATAGTCTCTACCTTCATGCCTACTGCTTTGAAACATGAAGCTTCCTTCCCCTTTCCTCTTTTCCCTCTGCTGTTACTTGTTTTACTGTATGGAATGAACAATATATGCTGGAACTGCCATTGCTATGTTCTGAAATTTTGACAATGGTGCCAGTTGGTAAGCCCTATTCCACTTATATTGAACACTGCATTATTACCAATCAGCATTTGGTAGTTTTCAAGTGCCCTATACTATGGTCATACCATGAATCCCCTGCATGTAGGGCGAGAAGTTGTGAAGGCTGCAAAATATTAGTCTAATGCTGTCAAGTATTTTCATCAAAAAGGGTTGTGTATTGTTACACTAACTGACTTGAAGCTTGAATTCCCCTTGTTGCCATGAGCTGTACAGGTTGATTAACCCATTTGCTGTGGCTGATGATTATACTCGTCACATGGCATCTGTGCCAACGGTGTGGTTGACAAGTATACCCATCCTGGTGTTTTGACAAGACACTGGTTCTCTCATTCAGAGCTACAAGATGATAAATTGAGCAAATACCCAGCACTGTGGTAGTGATTCTGTTATGAAAAGTCTTCAGGGAAAGGGTTAAATTTGTAGCTCTCAGCAAAGATTACCTTCTCTGCCTGTGAGACCTCATGGCCCTGTCCCCATTCTCCTTTGTGCCTCTCTTGATATCTGTTCTATGAAACCTTATGAAGCTTACACTGGGCTTGGATGGGTCTTGATCTTTAATTGTGGCATGTTTACTATGCATATAGTTTGGAAAGGCATGGGAAGAAGATGAAAAGCTCTCTTCTGTTATTGGTTGATCCCACCACAACTTGGTGGAATGTAGTGATTGAGTTCATTCTAACCTATGATGTGAATTCTATGTCATTCCCAAAATTGTATAATGACAAAATGCCTTTTTTTTCCCCTCCAGGGTTCATCAAAGTGGTCCTATACACTGTCTTTGTCATGATAATGGTGAAAATCCACACATTCCCTCTGTTTGCAATCAGACCCATGTATTTGACAGCCAGGTCAGACAGTTTGGTCCCCTCTCATTTGCTGTTACTGGTGAGATAATGATCTAAAACACGTTCTCATTATGTTTCAGGTCATTCAAACGAGCTCTGCACGACGTGGTCATGTCTAGGCGTGCAATCCGCAACATGAACACGCTGTACCCAGATGCCACACCTGAGGACCTGGCACAGACTGATAACACCTGCATCATCTGCAGGGAAGACATGAGTTCAGGTAACCCATCCCAGCTCAACAAATTTCAGGCATCTTGTTGAATGCTTTGAGCCAGGTTCTCATGTTTTGACATTGCAGGTGCAAAGAAGCTGCCATGCAACCACATCTTTCATGCGTCTTGCCTTCGCTCCTGGTTTCAAAGGCAGCAGACATGTCCCACGTGTCGAATGGACATCTTACGAACTGTACCGTCTCCTTCGGCAGCAGCACCTCCAGCAGCAGCAGCAGCAGCAGCTGCTGCTGCTGCTGCTGCACCACAAGCAGTACCTGCTGCAGCTACTGGCATTGCTGCTGCCCAACCTCTTGGGAGTCAAGATGAAGCACAAGCACAGGCCCAGGGCAGAGAATCTGCACAGGGTCCTTTTGCTTCTATGGGTAGGTGTAATCATGATGAGAAGCTTGATAGGCCATGGTTCTTCCTCTTCTTTCAGCTACTTTTCCCATGAAGTAAATGTGTCACCTATGTTGGAGTTGTGATCAATGCTGAAAAATCTAGTCTGAAGGTTGCAATTTCTCTTTGCTGACAGAATTGTGACCCTTTGTTACCAGTGTCTAAAGCTAAGCATAAGCATGAGATATGCTCAAGGAGCTGTGGAATCTGTTTGAGTTGTTCATTTTATCCTTGGCCTACTTGGTCTCAAGGACATGCATGATTCAGACAAATTACCTCTTGCACTTCTGTTTGGGTACCTCAGAAAATATACCAAGACCTTATTCCTAGTCCCTATTCAACCAATTTGAGCAATGCTAAGAGGGTGTTTTGTTTCAGTTGGGCAAAATGGCACTACTGGCATCGATGAAGAGGTCATGAGATTGGCCACAGCTTGTAAGCCCCACAGAGTGAATGTGTCTTGCTGATGCAGTCTGAGTTGCTAGTTCATACATTTTTGCCCCAAAAAGAGCTGCACATCCCCAAGTATCAAAAGGAAGCACATTGCCCCCTCCCCCCAGAGGGCTAAGTTTTCCTTTGAAAGCTTGGAAACTGATAATTTATTCAAGTACATTCTGAAAATTAACAGTTTTTCACTGTTACATCCTTGGCCTGAAGGGGTTGAATCATGAATTCGTTAAGGTCATTAAATCATTTGTGTTTTTTTTTTCGCCAAGAAGATGGCATGAAACTTAACATTTAATCAGCCAATTTCTGTATTAGGAGTGCAAGTGAAATATAATTATAATGCTCATGAATCCAACTCTATGGCTTCCATTGATGATGGCTATTGCATTAAATATTCTTTCAGTTTGACAAAGGAAAGATAATAGGAAGTTTTTTTTATACTATGCTGTGATGTTGTTGCTAGCCAAGCCTTGGACTCAGTTTTCCAAAGCAAAACTGAAAGACATTTTAAAGTTTCATGTTATTGGTTCATGAATTTCAGACATGCATTTCAAATTATGCTTCATATTTGCTGCAATTAGTTCTAAATGTATCTTACAGCAAATACCCTCCTTGATGCAGCTTGGTTGGTTACCCATCTAAATTTCATGTTTTGGCATGAAAAGCAACCACTTTAGGCGTAACGTTTGATGGGCATGGAAAAAATATATTTTTGGTTTACAATCACCTAAAAAGCAAAGCTGTGCTAGGTCAATACTCCAAGTGATTCTTTCTATCACAGTCAGTGCATTGCTGTGTCTGCAGCAGGAATTTAAAAAAAGACTGTTTTACTTGCAGCAGCTGAAGTAAATAAGAAAAATAAATACTCGTTTGATGTTTTTAATTAAGTCATGGAAAATTTTCATGCAGTGCATTTATGCATTAATGAGTGCAAAGTGACTACAGAAGCATCGCAGAAAGAAGTCTTTATTCACATTAGGAAGTCAGTTATTACAGCCATCTCAGTAGAAATATTCCTCCCAGATTCATAATACACTAATTAAATAACTGAATTTTGCACATTCCCTCATTGATAGGAGGATCTGTTTCTAGCGTGTTTCTAACCAATCATGGAATTTTGTGCATTTGGCATCGTGCTCAACATCACCTAGTCTTCAGAGTGCTATGTTCAGTGTGTTTTACATGGCAGCAAGGTAACCTTTCTTCGCTTACTTTCCAGGTGGGAATTATCCCTCTAGTGAAGCTTGGATGCGATTCAGGTTTCCTCAACCTGGATCAACTGGATTCCAGCTTCCTTTTGCCGGTCTACCGCCCTTCCCGCCACCTTTCCCGTTCAGTACGTTCCCTATTTGTTTTATTTTGATGTTTTTTGGGGGGGATCTAACGCATTGCACAGGGTATCTGTTCTGGTTACTGCAGTGGCCCCACCGCCCCCTCCGCTGCCCCCAGAGGGATTCCAGGGTCTAGGCGATGAGGAGCTGAGAGCGATGGAGGGCTTGGAGCGGGAGAACGTGGAGGCGCGGATCCGCTGCCTGCGCAATATCTCCACTCTCCTCGATGCTGCTGTCCTTCAGATGCAACAATATCATTCTATTGTTGCCCCAACCATGACAGGTCTCAGGTCTGTGCTGAGTGCTTTGGTACCAGTCATTGATACCAGTGCTTCAAAAAAGAAAGGTTCATACTTTAGTGAGGGAATGATGAAGGTGCTGCCAGTGCAGTGATTTTACAGTGGGTATATAATGGGCTTGTTCACATTTGACTTGGTGTCAAGAATAGAGCTGCCACCTGTCCCCTAATTTATAGGACTCTAGCAATTTTACGGGAGTGTAGTCCTGGATGAAGAAAAGATGCTGGTGTAGCACGACTCATTTCTTTGTTAAAGCACCAGCGAAAAATGCCGTCATCGAATTTTGATTTATGCAAGATGGAGCTACCCCACATCGACCGGACCCAACCCTTGAATTGCTCAATCAGGCTTTCCAGAACTGAGTTTTCGGCTTCGGGTATCAGCGCCGCTTTAGAGAAGGATTTGACTGGTCAGCCCACTCGCCAGATTTAAGTTTTATAACTGTGGGGACACCTTTAAAGACAGAATTTATCAGTGCAATCCAAGAACTATCCTGGAACTAGAAGCTGCGATCGAAACTGAGCTCAAATCTAGCAGCCCTGCTACGCTGAAATCGGCAATTTCAATTTCAATTTGTTAAAAATGGCTCGAATTGGTAGTCGAGATGGAAGGCGGGTACATCGACAACTGTCATGTAACCCCTCATGGAGTCTACTTACATATGCAATAAGTTGCCATATTCGGTCTTATTCGATAAAATATTATATCAGAAGATCCGGGTCAAGTCCGTTTTTAGCTATCCTGTATTTCAACTGAGAAAAGTGTAAGTGTAAAGGTTCAATGAAGGATTTCATACCCCACATTGAGTTTTAGTTTTTAGACCACGATATTTGTCTTTCAATGCGGAAATATTAAATTGTAACACGTAACTTTTCAAGCGCTTTTGTTATGACTATCTAAATTATCTTTCCTTTGAGACGTGTCGTGATTGAATGACTAACGCAATCTGACACGGTTCTAGGTCTCCAGGGGAGAAGAGCGAGGAAGAGAAGAGGAGGGAGAAGGAGCTGGAGGAGGCAGAAGAACGGGAGCTGATGGAAGCGTTCATGCAAGCCCCGAACGCGGATCCGCGGTTGGAAGAGATCCGGCGTCGGAGGCTCCGCCGATTCCATCTCGGCAGACAAGATCAGGAGGATTGACTTGCTTTTTTTTTCTCATTCTCTCTGCTCTGTTGATCTGTCCCCTTTCCTTTCCCTCCTGGGTTTTTTTTTTTTTTTTTTCTCTCCCTCCTCGTTTCTTCCTCTGTTGCGTTCTGCTTCATTCATTGTGATGTGATACAGTATACGATCCTTGGAGGTACGGAGTCTGCCCTGTGTTGAAGATTAAAGTTATTCCCAACCGTGATCGAGAGTGTCGTCGCACCTCGCACTACGTCCTTGTCACTGGCGTGACGTTGAGTTACGACCTCGATCCTGACAATGGGAGATGTATGCTCGTGGTCCGTGAATGATTAAATGACTCTGGCGAGGCTCATGCCACCGATGTGAGCATGATGCACTGGCTGGCTCGAGGCTCGATTTGTATTTTGAATCGTCGGATGGCGAAGCCAAAGTCACATTCTTAAGGCAAATGTCAGGCTTTTAAACACCTGACAAAAGGAAACGCATGGAAAATTCAACGTTTCCTGACGAGAAAGAATTCGCCATTTTTTCTGTTCGAAATGGTAGAAAATCTCAGCTCCCCGGTGAAAAAGTCCAGCATTTCTCAATTCTCATTTTGTGGTCTGAAACAGGAAAAAGTCCTATCAGGTCATCGATGATGAGTCGATTGAATAATTCCTGAAGCCAAGAGCAAAAATACGAGGGCTTCGTTTATGGAGATTCAGATTTCTTTCCGATTGAAGGGCCGGAGAGGAAAGTGGTATGCAGAAATTCGCCAGTTTTTACGTAATTCCTCAAAACTACAATTTTCGATGCAAGGTTCTACGAGCACTAAATCAACTAAAAATTTGCAAATTTTTTCGCTTTCCCTTTCTGCCCTTGAAATGTCCCCCGATCAGCCTGAGTGCATTGTGGTTTTTGATGAATGACGTCTTGCTTCCTCGAACCCTCATTTGATGGGGCAATGAGCAATTCCTTAATGACTCCATAATTATCCCATCAAGAGTCCATAACAAAAAAGGGGGGGAAAGTGGGGTGAAATGAGACGTCCTCACCGAGAGTCCTCGCCGAGAGTCCTCACCAAGAGTCTTCAAAAATCGCGGGGGGGGGGGGGGGGGGGGGGGGGGGGGGGGGGGGCACGAGCGCATTCCTCCGCCGTCCTCGTCGCGTCCGATAGCATCGGACAAAAAAATGATTTCAACCTTGGGGGCGTTCCACACCTGCCGCTTCCTCCCGGCTCGCAAACGAGAATTAGTTTTTTTTACTGCGAGATCCGCGTCGATTGTCTCTCTCTCTCTCTCCCCGGCTGGGCAAGAGCGGAATTAACGTGCGTTGTTGATTGCTGTTTTTAATTGCTGTCGAGGGATTTGCGTTGGCGTGTCCGAGCAATAAAGGATGCAGATTATCTTTATGATAATAACCTGTCATCCTGATAGTTTTCACATTCAACGTTGCGGCAGGAATGGCATGCTCAAATTATTCTTGCAGGGATCTGTAGTTTGGAATGCGTACATATATATGCAGTATAGGAAAATATATAAATATTTCCCCCCCCCCTCTGTGGCAATCCATCTCGATTGGTGGCGCTGTGGTCACATGTGCGAAGAAGCACGGAGGGCTCTGGATAGAATTTCCATTCCGGGAATGATAGAATATGAACGTGACACGTTGCTGCGCGAAAGCTTCACCATCTCTGCTCAGAGTGGTGCGAATGCTCCACGTATTAAAAAAAAAAAAATTTCTTAGTATCTATTCTTCGTTCATACCTTTGCTCAAGCGACCGCAGCGCCCTCTGCCGACACGTGCAGCCGATCGGCTGCATCCGACGATTCCTTTAAAAGTTCTGACCGAACCGAGTCCATTCTCTCGAGCCCGAACGGATTTTTTCTCACGCCTCGAACATCGCATTGCACGTAGATGGGAGACGCTTCGATCGACTACAGCGCCATCAGTCGGCATGCAAAAAATCCATCGAGACTCGCGAACCTCTCTGTCGAGTATCGGCTGCATGCGACTGCCCCTTCAAAAAAAAGTCAGTCGATCGAGATGGAGTGGTGACTTTATGATGGCCCAGGATATGTCTTCGTCTTTTATTCCATCTTTGTTGGGAGGATTTGAAGACGTCATTTCCACAACATGCAGCGAGATCGGGATCCGAAGCTGGTATTTTTCGATCCTCCGAGGATTGAGGATCGATCCTCCGAGGATTGAGGATCGATCCTCCGAGGATCGAGGGTCGATGCCCCTCCGGGGCGTGCCGTCGCTGCCCGGGCGTGCCGCGGGGCGTGCGATTGCGATTCGTCTCGCGTCGTCTGCTCCATGGATTGCAGACGATGAGGATTCTTTCTGTTTCCGTTTCAGCAACCACAAGAGAAGCGTTCGACGAGGTATTTTCAACCGATCGATGCCGCGGCGGTCGATATCGTCGCCAGAGATCTCATCGATTCGAGACAAAAAAGACGACTGGAAGAACCGAAGACGATCGAATGGAGAACCCAGACGCCACGGCCGAACGAGGTCATCTCGTAGAACGAGGTCATCTCGGACTCGACTCGTTGTGTCTTCTTTCGGTCTCTGCGTTGAGGGTCAAGAATGGACCTCATGAGGTGGTTAAATTGAGGACTTCGATCATTTCTTACTGACAATGCCGAAGACCAGTGGGACATCTGCCGAGCAGCGTGCTTCTACGGTATACCTATACATTCCTACAGGAAAGCTATAGGTCCTACGAGAAACTTATAGCATCCTAGAAGTTTCCTATAGGAATCATACACTGTAGAAGCACGCTGCTCGGCAGATATGACTGAAGTCCTCACTTTAACCACGTGGTATCTTATAATAGAATGTGTTCTAAAAATAGATTTTGGACTACCCACACTTATATTATTATTCTGTGATTGGATAGTAACTTTATTTACGATAAAACCTTTACTGACAATAAAACTAAGCATTAGAGACAGGTAAAACGTGTTTTTGTAGGTGTTGCAATACTTTCTGCCAATACTGTATATATATATATATATATATACAAACCCATATATATATATATATATATATATATATATATGGGTTTGTAAGTGCGAGTGTGCTTCCGTGTGAACGCGCCCTTAAAGGGGGATCGTCGCTTGGGGCGATCGCTTGGGGATGGTCGTCGCTGACACGTGGTCGGTGACGTCCGGATTCCGGCTTGATGGTTCACGAGTGCGAAGTTAAGAGTCTGGCCTTGTGGGAATCGCACTCGGGATTTTCCCGTCGCGACTGGTCCTGGTGGGGGGCGAATCTTCGTGGCTCTCAAAATAACAGGATGAAAAAAAAAAAACATCGGGAGTCTCGGGGAATCCAACGAGGTTGAGTCACATAATTAGAATGTATTTTTATTTTCGGGCAAATATTATTTTTCTCATAGCGGGCAACAGCTCTGACGTCGAGCCAATTAATTTCTTTTAAAGAGTAATCAAGGAAAAAACTCAACTTCTCGCGCGGCTGGCGTTCTCCAAAACACCCTAGTTTCATCCGACATATCAATTAAGCGAATGCTTAATTGGTATGTCGGGTGCAGACGTAAACAGGAAAACTTGCTTCGTGATGCGCCGTAATATCGGTATTTTCTTTGGAGAAATTTCCTCGGAGCTGTTGAAGGGCGTGGATCGCCCGCGCGGAGGGACGGACGGACGGGAGAGACGCGTCTTCTCCTGCGGCTGGGGCTGGACTGAGGGGGGAGGAGGAGGGGAGGAAAGGGTTGGGTTCTCGTCGCTGATTGGTTGGGGGGAGAGGTCCCTGGTTGGTCGGTTCGGTTGGTTCGAGGGCGTTGATTGGTGGGTTTGGATGGTTCGAGGTCTCCGGTGAGGAGGTTTCTGGTCGGTCCGGGTGAGGCAGACAGTGGGATCTTCCACATTTCCGAAGCCTTTTGCGTCTTTTTCGCGACACATTTTTTAAAGTCTTGTTTTACTTTAATTTTTTTTTTCCCGTCTTGCTGCGAGATAATCCGGGTTGTCAAAAATCAGTCCGGTGAGTGCAAGAACTAACATGTCGGCCGATTCGGGGCAATCGACACATATTTCCGCGGTATCTTTCGATGCAGTTGGCGATGAAAACCTCGAAGGCGAAGAGGAAAAATGTGCTGAGGACTTTTTGAAGACTCTTGGTGAGGACTCTCGGCGAGGACTCTCGGTGAGGACGTCTCATTTCACCCCACTTTCCCCCCCTTTTTTGTTATGGACTCTTGATGGGATAATTATGGAGTCATTAAGGAATTTCCGTCATTCCTTCCCCGGGTATTTAAATAAAAGTAGGATAATAATTATAATTACCATGCTGCGGATATCGAGTTTGACCAACTTTGATCGATTTTCGCCCCGAAGGGAACATTTCAAATTTCCGGTTCGCCGCAGAAATCCTGCGACCCCAAAATAAACCAATTTTCGCGGACCTCAAAAAAAAAAAAGTGATTCCCTCAGAGGCCCTCTGAGGCCATATGAGGCCCTCAGAGGCCCTCTGAGGCCATATGAGGCCCTCGACGGCCTCAGACGACGATCGCATCGCGACGCAAGGCACGCCTGCGATGCCAGGATTGCGCCATTCCCGAGCTTAATCGTTCCGATCGTGCAGAAAAACGACAAGAAGTCGCGGAGTCCGAACAAGGACAATCAATCTGCCGCCGTGACGCAATGCCGAGGATCGGACGTGATCGGGGAAACGTGAACGCGATTCTGTCGTGTGTTCTCGTCCGACTCGGTCGCGTGTCTACGTCCCAATGCAAGGGTTCCTCTCTCGATTCTGGTCGGCTGGGGTTTCGGGTGATCCTCTCGGTCGTCGGTCACGATCTGTTTTCTTTCTCCGTCGTCGCGTCGGATGGCTGGTTTATTTTTATTATGCGCCTCCGCCCTTTCGCGGATCTCTCGGCGGAAGGCGGATTCTGCCGAGATTTCCGCAAAGTTACTCGAGGACGACTGCCTTTCGCGGTTTCCGCTTTCTTCGCGGCGATTCGCAAGATCGACGCGGGATCCGCGGAAACGCCTCGCGATCGGAAAGGCATCAAG